CAGATGATAAAACAACTGATAATCGGTGATGCGGTTACGTTATGAGAGTTTATTATGGAGAGCTAAACATGTCCAGTTACCGCGTATTGAAATCTAACATGACCGTTACCGCATCTTACATTTCCAATTTCCAAGATATCGTTGAACTGTGGCCTTTTCGCATGTTATATGAACAAATTATCATACTCCAGTGTTTCCATGTCATATAAGTCGGATTTAGATCAAATATCAAAGCATTATACGTCAACTATAAAGTAGTTTAATTCGATGGAAACTGAAAATATCGAAATCGGCACTTCCCGTCCGCCATCTTTGATGCGAAGGTGACGGCCGTTACCTTCGCTTGATACTGACCAGTGAAACATTCATTGAATTAAAAATAGATTTACCACAAGATGCACTCAACTGGATTCTATAAATGTATGTATTTGTTGTAGTTAAGAAAGTGTACAGTGTATTTGTTAATAAAACCGGATATGTTTATGTGGCCGTCTCCCTTTTCAGGGTCGGTAGTGAGCTGAGGCCCGGTGTAAAAGGGTCGGAGGTCCTATCAAATTATGGTCCTACTTTCCATTGATTTATATGGTGACCTAAATACAACTCTTTTCCTTATTATCGTATCCACAATCAGGGCCAGTAAGAGCCTTTAAGAAAGGGGACCATAATCCCCAGGGGACCATTATTTCTTTTACACCGGGTATACAGTCATTAATAAAAAATATTCTTATTCTTATTCAATGTAAGTAATATAAGTTAATAGTAATATTAATATACATGTATACACCACGCATTACCAACTCAGTACACTAGGGGACTTTTTAAAAAAATTTAACGTATTCCTGGGCCTCAAGTAGTGAGCTAAATATTCTGGATCAAATCGTCATTAGTGATACCCACAGTGCGCCGATTCATAATAAATTCCAATAGAATACTCAAAATATATGAGTAATGGTGAAGGCCAACGTAGTTTAGATGCATCTTATTAGATTGATCAAGTTCTAGCTTTGGAGTGTTTTTTATAATAATGCGTGCACGGTGATAAAGCATACATAATTTCAGATTAGTCAATTACGTCAATATTTCATTATCAAAAGCAAGAAAACATTTTGACCCCCGCCGTTTGGGCATACGAGAAAATGGTATTGCGATGTGCATTATCTCCAAAACGGACACACAATTTCTTCATTTTTTATATTGTTATTGTCTTTTTTGTGGACGCTGTTCGACGGAGGTCGGCGTCTGTAACAAAGTGAAGGTGTCATTTTGTTAATGAGGAAATAGACTAGGAGTTCACATCTATATCTGTCCTTTGGTAACTGACCTTCCATTGACTTTCAGAAAATGCCTTGGGCCCTAGAGAGATTGCTTGCATTAATGATTATCTAGAGTTTATTCAAATTATTTGTCAAAGGAATGGTATCGATATGGTGTACTGAATTCAACAATGTTTTCCTCTGAAACCTATTATTGAAAACATAATGTAAAAACACGGACCTTTATGTAATTTTGACTGATTGACAACAATTGAATGTGAAAATTATTGATACATATTTTCTATAAGTGATTTTGTTAACATTCTCTTTGTTTTTTTAGTGCGATTGTTTATTGTTCCTTTTTATCAATTCTTGATAATGAAATAAAATATCTTTCTGAAGCTTGTTTGAACAAAATAGCATATATAACATTTTCTCAGACCGCTCAATATTGCAGTTATACAACGGAAATTTTGGTTGATTTTATAAAAAACGTATTCAAAAATTAAAACAAAAAAAACAAAAATAGATAAAAAAAATTAAGATAAAACCTTTTATTTCAATACTAAGATACTTTTTAAAATCAACCAAACTTTCTTTTGTACAATTACAATATCGAGAGACCTATACACGTAGTGTTTATGTCATTTTGTTCCAAGCAATGAGGTTTGGATAGATATTTCATTTCATTCCGAACATATGATACCAAGAACAAAAGACGTGTCTGATGTGTTTTCTAAAACAATATAGAGAAGAGTAAATATATTAATTTCAAATCATATTGTTACCACGCAAAAGATGACCATTAAATTGACAATGTGTAGAATTTTCAGAACTTTTTGATTAACTTTTTGAACGTGTGTTCAAAAAGTGCACCATATCGACACCCATCCTTTCGAGACATGTAATTCTCATACAAGTGTGGGAGCAAAAGTCCAAATAAGAGGTCCCGTTTCCTTTTTAGAGGCGAGCTAAGCGACATATGTTTTCATGAACTAGAAGTGATACTTATCAAGAAAAATGATGTTGTCAATTCTGATTCCGCGACGGCGTTGCTATGGTAACCAAGTAAATATGCCACACCCACTTTTAGATGCTCTTTTCAGTGTTTGGCCTCTATTTCCGCCATTATTGCTCAGATTTTGATGAAATTTACACAAAATGGAAGGTAATAGATAATGCAATGAGGAGATATTAAGTTGGCAATTCTGAATCCGTAACAGCGTTGCTTTGGTAACAAAGAAAATATCCCACACCCACTTTTAGGGGCTCTTTTCAGTGTTTGGTCCCTATCTTCGTCAATATTGCTCAGATTTAGGAAATTTGTACCAAATGGAAATAGGAATTAAACATGTTATAAAATATGCAAATAAGGTGATTTGCATATTAATTATGACGTCATAACCGTTTGTTCTTGCATATTTTATTTTAATCATGATGTATAAATCTGGGAAGTTATTGTCTTTAAAATGGTCAGTAATGCTTTTAAGTAGTTAATTATAGTTTATTTCGTTGAGTTGAGTTTATTAGTAAATTTCATGCATACATGTATGGTCATAAAAAATTGAAAAATGTAATGAAAATATCCAAATCAAGCTGTTGCTATGGTAACAGTATGTTGCAAAACTATCTGCTGTAAAGATAATTCTTTGGGAAATGTTACATTTTGACCAGTTGACTGGCATGTATTCCTTCTAAAATTTGATGGCAGAAAATAACCGAATAACGATAGAAAATTACCTAATTTGGATTGTGTTATATTATGATGTCATTATGGCAATTATTGATCAGGGGCACAGCCAGCTTTCAATCAGGGGGTGGCGATCTCGGCATAAGCAACTCAAAAAATGTTAAATTTGTCTTGAATTTTACAAAAATTCCTTCAAAACTGAGCTGGAAGCTTCGAGTCAAAAGCATTTTACAGCTTCTTCTCTCCAATGGTTCTATTTTTATTGGTTAATGGTTGCCCACCTCACACCCCTGGATATGTCTGTGTTAGTTATGGTATTCAGGTGAACATGCCGTCCCCACTTTTCAGGTCTTTTCCAAAGTTTTGATTCTATCAGTTGTCATGATGATAGCTCTGGTGTGTATGAACTTTTCATCATATGGAAACTAAAGAATCAGACGACAATGTATGGGGAATGTAGATTGACAGACTGGCATACCTGTTATGGTATGACTATCATAGCTGTTTTCGTGATTATTTTCTTGAAATAAGGTAGAATTGCTCAAGATGATTCCAAATTGGTACCTTGTCCTTTGACATTCACCATAAAAGTAGGTCAAAGCTGAAAACTATGATTGATTTTCATTCTAATTCTTTACACGTATAAAGTATGATCAAGAAATATTATCGGCAATTCTGAATCTGTGAGGCCGTTGCTATGGTAACCAAGTAGATATGCCACGCCCATTTTTAGGGGCTCTTCTCAGTGTTTGGCCCCAATCACCAACATTAATATTATTATTGCTTAGATTTTGATGAAATAATATGCCATCCCAACTGTTCAGGGCTTTTCCCAAATTTTGCTTCTATCTTTGTCACGATTACAGCTTGAGTGTATATGAAATGTTACGCGGTAAACAAAATACAAAAATATGTCATATTCCACAACGAATATGGCATATTCACTTGCGGTGTATGACAGATTCACCTGCGGTATATGGCATACACACTAACCAATGAGAACGTGATACGGAAGTACGCAATTGTCAATTGCATCGATTGAATGAGCAAGTAAAACGTTATTAATTATTATAATGATTTCAAAACCAAAAGCATATCTGAAATCAGGGGCTTCCATACTTCATACTTGTAAAGAAATGGAATCAATCATAGTTTTCAGCTTTGACCTCATTTTATGGTGAATGTCAAAGGACAAGGTACCAATTTGGAATCATTTTGAGCAATTTTACCTTATTTCAAGAGATAATCACAAAAAGCAGCTATGATACCATAACAGGTACTGTACTCCTGGTATTTTACACCTGCGATTTAGTTTCGTGCTTGGTAAAATCGCGAAAATTAATCTTTGCGAAATTGTCAATTAAATCCCAGGGATTTGTGAAATTTATTATTACATTTTGTGTTTTGTAAAATGTTTGTCAAGTGTTTTATTTTATTTTATCCATTACCTTCCATTTGGTGAGAATTTCATCTAAATCTGAGCAATAATTACAGAGATAGGGGCCATACACTGAAAAGAGCCCCTAAAAGTGGGCGTGGCATATTTACTTGGTTACCATAGCAACGCCGTCGCGGATTCAGAATTGCCAACATAATTTTTCTTGGTAAGTATCAGGTCCCATACTACCGGGCGTTTCGTTTGAACAAACATTTTGAAAGACTAGAAAACTAGAAAGTGTTTTATGACTGGTTTAAAAGAAACCATGGTATTCTATAAAGTTTTTTGTGTTATATTGCCTGAACAGACAAATAAAGTTCATGTTGACAAAAATAAGTTAAATAGGTTTTAGAATAAACATTTCTTTCAATTGAGACCCCGTGGTACAAATATTATGTTTACGTAAAATAAAATGCAAAACAAGTGAACGAGCAACACATTTTGGATAAATTTCAAACAATATTTTCCCAGGTCATCTTTGTTTCCATTTTCTGTCATATTTTTTCTGAATATTCTGAAATCAATGTATCCAACTTGATGGGGCAGGGAATAATTGGTATTTATATGTATACAAATGGCTACTTCAAAAGACACATGATCTTATTGTAGTCTTGCCTACCTGTCATTGTAAAGATTCCCACGACCACCCCGATGTCCCTTTTAGCCACAATGACATCCTCGCTGTTAGCCTCTTTGCCAAACTGTTTGGCTTTGCGTCCCGCTATCAGCCCGATCACCAGTATGATGAGATAGAAGATAATGATGGCGGCCACTCCCCACCAGTTGATCACCATCTTGAAAATTATTTCTTCAGATTATATCGTTAAACACGGTCCATGATGATACGCTAAAATATGCAGAATCATAATTAATGATCGGGTAATTATGTTGTGATTAATTAGTCACTTTGTGAATTATTTAAACTTTTAGTAACTTACATTCGAATACACAACTGCTGCCGTGAACAATTTCAGAAAAGGTAACGTTTATTTTGTTAATCCAGACTATAAAGAAAAATTCTATCAGTCATTCGTTGCCTCTTTTTCTTCCAACATGCAAACAACAATCAAATGTTTGTCAGTGACTCTCTTTGAACTCTTTTTGAGCGTCCCGATGTGAACCTAGTTATCGCACTGTGGCTAGTCGAACTATGTGGATGCAGTCATTTATATGTAATGTATCTTGGGTGCTAGCGTACATTATAGGGAATGGGATCATGCAAAAATATGACAGCAAATCGAGGTAAGTGATCTCAGAGTTTCTACTTAACAATGTGACTTGAAATCGTGCATACATATTCAATATACATAGTATGACAATGTGTGAAAGTTTCAGCTACCATATTCCTGTTATAGGGAAGATATTTGAAAAACATTTCGTAAACGTCAACATATATGTATAAAATGGATGCACCTATGTATCATTTGGATTCAGAACGGTAACAAATGGAAAATGCCATTACAGATGAAATAAAGGACCCACGGTCCTGTGCTCACACAATGTAGAACCTTCAGAGGAATGTATATCCTGATTTTCAAACAAAAGTATTGGTAAATATGAGATCAATAAAAGATGAGTCCTTTGTTGTTGGTTCAGATATGATTTGTTGTAGTCAAAGGAAAAACTATGAATTTGACCTAGATTTTGACCTTTTTTTGACTTTTAGTGTCCAAATTTTGAAGGAAAGTAGATTTTGAGGACGGCTTCTATTGTAGATTCTTATTACGTTGGCTGCATCAAAGCTGTATCTAGTGTTGTGTTGTTACAATTGATAATTTTCTCAAGCCCCATTGACTTAACATGGGATACCAAAATAGCGATTTTTGAGATTTCAAAATGCCATAACTTCCGAACCGGAAGTCGAATCAAAATCTGGTTTGCAGACTCGGATTCCTTGGACAATTCTTCACATATTCCATAACTCATACATTGAATTCCAAGAACATTTTTATTGTGACCTACTTTTCGGATGCCATATCTCAAAAACGGTAAGAGTGATCAAAAACAACTTGCCTGTAGGGATTAGCTTTTTTCCAAGGAACATGATTAAAAAACGGAGCAAAAATATTAAAGGACGACTGAGAAAATTGAAAAATTGACAAAGTACTGAATTTGACCTAGTTCTTGACCTTTGACCTAGATTAAACCTGATTAGACCTAGATCTGGACTTGGACCTGAACTGGACCTTGACTTGGACCTGGACCTGGACCTGGACTTGGACCTGGAAATGGACTGGACTGGTATTTTTTCAATCTTTTCTTCACTTCTCTTGACTTTCTATAAGGCTATCATCAGATCGATTTTTCTCGAAATTTAAAAATCCGCAATTTCTCGGAAACCGGCCGAACTTGGGAAATGGCGATGATAGGTCAAATAGACATTATGGATATGCATAAAATGAATGAGGAAATGACTCAATCCGAATAGCAGTTTTAATTTGTGCAGCCAATGTTAACAGACGGACGGACCAACGGACGGACGGACGGACTGACCAACGGACGGACGCCTGGTCGATCCCATAGGTTCAAAAACTATGGTTTTATCGCTAATACTGTTAATTTGAAAAACGGGTCCATAACATGTAATGATGACAATGAAAATTTTGAAATTAGGTACGCCAATGAAGTGAATTCAGAGCAAATGACCCATCGACCCACTGGAATACCCACAAATCAAGTTTCATAGCATTGCCCAAGTCGGTCTCTTTTACTTATCTTGATTTCTATTATGACCGTCTTGTACCCAAGAGAAAGCCACGTGCTTTACCGACCCAATGTTTTTGTCTGTAAAATTTGACAAATCAAAAATGGTTCTACATTGTCGGACTAGGTCTTCGTGCATTTCCATCGCGAATTCAGTTTTGATTTTGAATCAACATTGAATTGCATGATTTCATTTAGATGAGTATTAATGACTGCTTACATTCCAATGTACATTTGATAACATAATATATTGTAACTCTCAAGAAACACTCGATCAGATCATTTAATTTCAAGTCCTAGATGGGTAGTTTGCTTTTTTTATGCAGGTCAACCTGATAACGTTTTGATTGGTCAATCAGCCTGAAGTCACACGTTGTGTCCATGTCCATATTGTCAATCAATATGGTTTTGCGATACCCAATTAGGTAGCCTAGGTATTATGGGAATCTCGGAACCGCTGAATAACTTAGCATAATATCAGCGATGATGCATTGGATTGTACAAGGTGGTAATGATTCAAGATCAGATAAGTAAATAAATACCAACTTGGGCAAGGCTACACGTTTCAGAGCCATTAACATTCCTTGAAAGTGACAATGAGCAGCCAACAGATGGACCATCCATAAATCTTGATGATTTTGTCAGCTCAGCTGAACGAGCCTCCAGATTCCTTGAAACAAATGACCATAATTCAAGAATAATATTATCTATTTACAATTTTTTGAAATCGTGGTAAGTGGAATCTTTCCAATTACCAATATAGCATTATTATTGTTTTTGGACACTGTGGATTAAAATATTAAAAATACACACATTCAAAATGATTCAATTGAAACCTAGCCAGTCTGTTCAATGAATCCAATCAGAACGTCTACTAATCCACATGATACATCATAATTAAATTGCTTTTTTAAAGCGGATATTTCATACCATAACCCCAAAAATATTATAGAACGCATTGTATTTGTATTTTACTTCACACAGACATATTTGTGTATGTGAAATAATTATATTACTTGAATTTTTTATTCCCCATTACAAGGTAAACCATGGCAAATTATACATACCTTCTCACAGCTATGAGCGAGATGATAAAACTGGTCGAGTGAACTCGTTTGAGTTATCTATTCTCCGTAAAAATATCAGAGAATGTGTGTTTATAGCGTAGCTTTGGTTTTGTAAATCAATGAAGTATGATATACACGGATGAGTAAATATAGATTATTTAAACAGAAGTGCAAAATTCTTCCATTGAAAAGTACAGAGGCGGGCACTCACGAAACATTACATGTGCCTGACTGCATCCACATAGATCGACTAGCCACAGTGTAATATTTGTCGAGTCAATGTCACTATATTATCACATTGTGATCGTAGCACTTGTCACCACAAAACTGGTCTAAAGGACGATTCTCGGTTTGGAGAACAGTCTCCTGGGCTAATAATTTTTTCAGGAAAAATATAGAAATATTACCCAAATTAAACTATGAATATTCAAATGAGGACATTTAAATCTACAAGATGTAAAAATAACAAATTGGTCTGAAGCAGGGATAACGCTCAATTAGACCGATTCAATAAAATACCAGTCTCGATTTGATATGACTATTCAAATGAAGACATTCAAATCTATATTATGTAAAAAAATCAAATTTGTCCGAAACAGGGATAATGCTCATTTAGATTGATGAACTTCGTTCTCCAAACCGAGAATCGTCCTTTTATCTAAATGACACACAATAAAAACACAACTCTATATAACATTCTCTAATCCAAACACTATCCACAATGGAGTACCTCGGGATTCTACAGGGCGTATAAAAACTCAACAAACAAATAAATAGTAAAGCTACAAAACCAGTTTACCATGAAGCCACGTTTCTTCTCTTTTTCATGATATGTCATTCCTATATCAGGCCTCCTCATATCGCGAATGTGAAATCTTATGTCGCGCACCACCATTTCCTTGTCTCCGAACATATTTCTTGTACCGCGCACAGAGATCCGTTACCGCGAACCACGCATCTGATCGAAAAAAGTCCGTAATTTTGTTCGTATTATTACGCATAAGTAAAATTCCAACGAGGTGTTTTCTTATGGAATTCGGAAGAAATATTTTCCCAGTTTTTCATGCATGTGAATGAATATCCACTCATTGACGAAAACAGTATTTTCAAGCTCTAGGAAACACAAAATATTGGGACTTACTTGCAATCACGCGCATTGACATTTTCAGTGAAAGGGCTGGGTAATAACAACAAAAACAAAAACCTGACTTTTGAGTAACCACGCATGGCCAAATTAGTGACAGCTTATTCCAATTTTGTCCATTTGAGCCGATGATTGCATCATAATAAGAAATGATGTTACCCTATGTACAATATTCCTGATTTTATAGAATACTTGATGTGCTATATCTGTAGCTCCAGCTACTGATGCTACCCGTTGCCTGTAAAACGTTTTAGATGAAAACTGAACTTAAATGTTGCCCCCCCCCCATTACGGCTTGTGGGATTAGCTGTTTACATACAGGAAAATAACAATCTATCATCCTGATAAAGATTTCAACACTTGGTGTTTCAAATCATATCAAATGACCACTAAATCGTAATTTTAGGGAAATGGCTAAGACTACTTTATCTGTCTAATCTGTGACCGTCTGAGATAAATGTGTGTTGACGAGTCCTGTAGTTAATCAATCTTGGTTTTAAAACCGAAGCTCTCATTGTGGGCTGTTCTGCCCCACCCATGTGCCATTTTGCCCTGCTCTCAACATCATTTTCGAACACTCTGAAAAATCACAGAAAATGTGAAATATAATCCCTTCATAAGATGGAACATCAAAGTTCGCGCTGATTGACAGATTAGAAAAACCTCTGCACGGATCAAATTATTATGAGGGCCGTTTTGCCCCATGTTCCCCAAAAATTCATGACTTCAGCAACCAGGACGATATCTGACCCAAGACGTGTGGAGCGCTAAAATGTCGGACCCATTTTTTCTGGGCCCATCTCAGAGAGAGGGGGCGGGTCAGTGCATCTACACCGAATACAGCCATAACTGATTACTACAATGTAGGTGTACTGTATAAAAGTAAACCTTGTAGTTTAAGGTCGCATGATGCTAAACAGGAAATGACAAAACAGGAAGTAACAAAACCATGCTTAATTTCAAACATTTTTTGAACCAAGATATCAGAGTTCTGTTTTAACCTCCAGTCAGTTTAACTAGTTCCACATACTATTTACATGACCAGGATCACACTGACCATGGTCAGAATGACCCTAGATGAAATAACTTTTTCAGCCCTCTGAAAAGGTCACTGTAAATAGCTTTAAATAGGAGCATAGGAAAGGTCAATGAACAGAATCTTTTGAATTTTTCAGAAAATGTGCCCAATATATTGCTCTAACACCCCAGTCACATTTCCTACGGCGACCTTGCGGTCTATCATTTCTGCGGCCAGTAACATTTCTACGCTCGCCGTGTAATTTCTGCGCTCTCATACTTTTGCAGTCACATTTCCCACGGCAGCCGCACGGTGAATTTTAAATTTCTGTTGATAAATAATACTTTTTTCATTTTATTTACATCGGGACAACTTATAAATGTTATTCATAGTGCTAGGATGTAATATCAAATGAAAAGTGATCGTGAAACATTGACAAATAATTATTCAATCTTGTTGAGCCAGTTGATTTCTACGGCGACATCAGAAATGAACAAAAATTATAACTCCGAGTTATAATTTCTACGCCTTCCCTGCGGCCTGTAAAAATCTGCATACGCCGTACGGAGGCCGCAAGGCGAGCGTAGTTTTTCTACGCTCGCCGCAGAAATTCACCGATTTAATAGATCTGCGGTCGACTTGCGGCCGCCGTGCGACAAATGTGACTGGGGTGTTAATGATACAATCTTTGAAATTTTAGAAACTTGTCTGAAAAAATGGCGGTCATTAAAAGGAAAAAAGATCGCTTTTCAATTCAGTTTTTTTTCATTTTTTTCTTTTTCAACGAATGATATCAAATTTCCAAAGATTGTATCACTGAGAGCAATATATTGGGCACATTTTCTGAAAAATGCAAGAAATTCTTCTCAGTGACCTTTCCTAAGCTCCTACTTTTATCTATTTTTCAGTCACAAATTTCAGAGGGCTGAAAAAGTAATTGCATCATGTCTAGGGTCATTCTGACCATGGTCATTGTGATCCTGGTCATGTAAATGGTATGTGGAACTAGTTAAACTGACTGGAGGTCGAAACAGAACTCGGATATCTTGGTTCAAAAAATGTTTGAAATCCAGCATGGTTTTGTCACTTCCTGTTTTGTCATTTCCTGTTAACTACCATGGCACCTAAAACCAGTTTAAGAAAAAAGATTAACTATACAAAAACGGTAGATCTACCTGAAATCAGCTGAGTCTCTCTGCCATCCACATGAGTCACAAAAATGGATGTCGGGGACATGATCATCGGTGCAAGCGTGTGAAATACTAGTGTCAAGACAGTTTCTGGTCCAACCACAGCTATCAAACACCTCTACACTTTCGTTATGGTTCTTACAAATGACATCTCCTATTACAATTAAAACACCACACCGTGCGCAGATACTGTCTGATCCCAAAAATGAATGACTGTGGGACGCAGTGCTGTCCTTTGACATATCATTTATTTTTAAAGCCCTGCCAACACGGGGCGTGGATGATAATCTTGCATGCCTTTCAAAGGAACGAAAGTCCGGTGTAACAGGAGTATAAGTCCCCTTGGAAAATAAGTCCGTAGGACTTGGATTCCTAGGAACGTAGGTCCTACGGACCTACGTTTCTAGGACCGGAGGTCCTACGGACCTCCGTTCCTAGTATACGATGTCCTAGTCGGACATATATTCCAAGCTATTGTAACAAAATTTTGAATTTTTGATTTTTGATTTGGTGCTGTAAACTCGTTTTTATACATTTATTACACTTGATTTGTGGTTTACATGTGAGATCATTAGGATGGTAATGTGTAGCAATGTTTGCAGCACTTAGGTTGTACTTACAGAGGTGAAATAGTTCGCATGTTTTATTTATTTGATCACGATTTTGTTTATGTTGATCGGGCAGTCTTATCTGGCAGTCTAATTTGTAGTTGATCGGTAGTCTAACATGGCAGCTTTATTATTTTACTTCCTGCTTTTGATTCTATCAAACCGAAGTAAAACTAGAGTAAGTAGCGATCAATTACTGTTATATTTCTTGAGTCAATATTAAAATCTTGTTGTATGCGTAATATTAAAGCTGGATATGGCGTCAATAACTTGTTATTCAACTTTGAAATCTTGTTCGAAAAGTGATGACGTCACCAGGCCTATATAAGTATTTCGCCGATGTAAACTCGGCAGATTACAGCTAGCTTTCGTTCGGGACAGAGCTCCGTTCAATTTCATATTTTTATGTGAAGTTGGACTTAGTCGTTTTTCAAGGAAATATTTTTGGACTTTGACAACTTTCAGTAGAAAGTTGTTGGGACTTTGAATATTTCTCGAGGCAGATAGGAGATACATAGCTGCACTTCAGTTCAGTGGATGATAACTTGGACATCTACTTGTGATGAAGGATACCTGAGAGGGAAGACTGCTACACCGTGATTCTGTAGATGATAACTTGGCCATCTATCCGTGTATTTGTGTAGAGGATACCTCAAGAGGGAATATTCAGTACCGTGTTTGGAGGCAGCATCAAGCCTATATTTCTGAGCTCTGTCAGTTCAATTTCATGAACACATGAAATTGGACTTTGCGTATTTTTGAGATAGAAATTATTGAACTTAGTCAATATTTGGAGAAACATTATTTTGGACTTTGTTTTTTTTTGGAGGATAAATATTGAACTTAGAATATTTCAATATCAGTATAACTCAACATTAACTGAACTTAGTTATTTTCAAGGGCAAATATTTTGATTTGTAATATTTTTGCCTATGCTGTTGTTCGCATGCTATATTTGTAGGTAGACTGATTACTTAATTGTGAAGGAAGTAGGCTACTTAGCAGTTGATGCCATGTATTAGACGTTTTTGGACTTAGTAGTTGGAAGATTGTGATAGTTTAACTACAACACATTGAGGAGGATCCAGGAGATAGTCGTTTCCAGACTTTATAATTTGACTTAGATTATTTCACATAATCAAAGTTGAATTATACTACAACACAGTGAGGAGGATCCAGGAGATAGCCATTTACAGAGCCGATAGTTTGACTTAGATTATTTCGCATAATCAAAGTTGAATTATCCTACAACACAGTGAGGAGGATCCAGGAGATAGTCGTTTCCAGACTTGATAATTTGACTTAGATTATTTCACATAATCAAAGTTGAATTATACTATAACACAGTGAGGAGGATCCAAGAGATAGCCATTTACAGAGCCGATAGTTTGACTTAGATTTTTTTGCATAATCAAAGTTGAATTATCCTACAACACAGTGAGGAGGATCCAGGAGATAGTCGTTTCCAGACTTGATAATTTGACTTAGATTATTTTACATAGTCAAAGTCGAATTATACTACAACACATTGAGGAGGATCCAGGAGATAGCCGTTTACTGAGCAATAGTTTGACTTAGATTATTTCACATAATCAAAGTTGAATTATACTACAACACATAGAGGAGGATCCAGGAGATAGTCGTTTCCAGACTTGATAATTTGACTTAGATTATTTTACATAGTCAAAGTCGAATTATACTACAACACATTGAGGAGGATCCAGGAGATAGTCGTTTCCAGACTTTATAATTTGACTTAGATTATTTCACATAATCAAAGTTGAATTATACTACAACACATTGAGGAGGATCCAGGAGATAGTCGTTTCCAGACTTGATAATTTGACTTAGATTATTTCACATAATCAAAGTTGAATTATACTACAACACATTGAGGAGGATCCAGGAGATAGTCGTTTCCAGACTCTATAATTTGACTTAGATTATTTCACATAATCAAAGTTGAATTATACTACAACACATTGAGGAGGATCCAGGAGATAGTCGTTTCCAGACTTGATAATTTGACTTAGATTATTTTACATAATCAAAGT